CTCTCTACCGCCTGAAGAACTTTCTCCCGTCCAAGACCAAGACGATTATTGTGCAGACCTTAATATTCCCCATTTTTGACTATGGTGATGTGTGTTATTTTGATCTGAACGCAGAACTCTTGAACAAATATGACCGTCTTCTTAATAACAGCATTCGATTCATTTTTAATCTTCATGATCATAATGATCATGTGTCTACTTATCGCTCTCAACTTAACTGGTTACCGAATGGGTAACCAGTTAAGTTGAGAGCGATAAGGTAAGATCAGCGCCGTAGTCTACGTGCACTCACTACTTTTTACTCTATCTTGATGTCTCCTAATCCTCCATCTCATTTAACTGCTTATTTTCGATATCTTAGCTCCAACCATGATAGAGTTCTCCGTTTTAGTAATAACCTTTTGCTTCAGTGCCCCCCCTTTTAGTATTAACTTTGTACAATCATTGTTCTTTGTTCAATCTTTTCTTCTTTGGAACGCTCTTCCTTCCGAAATCAGGAGTGCTGAAAACCGGATTTCGTTCAAGTTTAAAGTGCGGGAACTGCTCGTTTAGCCGTGTTTAATATTATATATATATATATATATATATATATATATATATATATATATATATATATATATATATACTTACATAATGTTTATATATGTATATATGTATACGCTTATTTATGTATGAGTTTATATATATGTGAATATTAAATGTGTATACGAAGTTAAATCAATAAATAAATAAATTATCCAAAGTAAAAAATAACTAAATTATTAATATAGGGGTATCTGTATAGTTTTCTCATCTGGTTGGTTTCTATAAATATATAATTATAAATTAAAATGAAAAGATAAATATACATAAATATCAATAAAATAAAATAAATACAAAAAATACACAAATAAATAAAGATCTAACCAGATAGAAGCCCTCGGCAGAGGAGACCAAACGGCCGAGGGTTAGGAGGAAAGGGAAAGAAACCGACGGACGATGCGGACGGTATCGAGGACCACTGCCTTCTGCATTTGAGCCCGGAGCGGTCCGTCACGGAGTCCCAGTCGCCTCAGATGACCCGAGAGGCTGACTGGGATTAGCCCATTCGCAGAGACGACTACAGGAATAATTTCGGTCGGCCGACCACCCCACATGTCGGTCACCTCGTGAGCCAGGTCCAGATATTTTGTTCGCTTATCTGTTTTGGCTTTCACGAGGTTCTCGTCATACGGAATGGTAATGTCGACCAAAAATATCCTTGACTGTGCCCGGTCCATCAGTACAATATCAGGCTTATTCGCAAGAATAGTCCTGTCTGTGATGATGGCCCGGTCCCAGTAGAGCCTGGCGCGGTCATTTTCGAGCACGGCTTCCGACAAGTACTTGTAATACGGCACTTTCCGGTCCACGAGACCGTATTTCAGAGCGAGCTCCTGGTGTAGAATTCTGGCTACTAGGTTGTGCCTGTGCAAGTACTCAGAGTTAGAAACACAAGTCAACAGAGTTAGAAAGACAAGTCTATGCCCTCAGAGTTAGCAACCCTTCCCCTTTCAACATGGACGACCGCAAACTTATCCGTCCCCAGCTCCTTTCCAATGGAATTGCTAAATTCACAAGTGATGTTTAGCAGTTCCATAAGATGGGAGCGACTGGAGGCGAATAACTTGAGGTCATCCATACAGAAATGGTGGGTCACTTTTGTCCCTCCTTTCCGTAGCTGAAATCCCCTCCCGGAGCCCTACAGTAAGGTACTGAGTGGGTTCAGAGAGAGGCAGAACCAGATTGACAGACAGACAGGTTCTCCGCAGCCATCATCCGCTCGCCCAGATGACAAAGGATCGTACTCCACTGCCCCATACACTGCTCGAGGAAGTCTCTAACTGTACAGTCAATTTTGTACAGCTTGAGGACCCTCTTTAGCCATGTATGGGGCACAGAGTCGAACGCCTTTCTGTAGTCTATCTAGGCGGCAGAGAAGTTCCGACGGTTGCGTTTCACCACTTTGCCTATGACCGCGTCAATGAGGAGTGGTTCCTTAGTTCCACGACCACCGCCCCTACATCCATTTTGAGCGCGTGACATCACCTGGTTTAGCCGCAGGTGACGAGTGATTCTCGCGCTCAAAATGGATGTCAGTGTCTTATATATGGTGGGTAGACACGTGATGGGGCGGTATTTGCTCGGGTCTGTGGTATCCTGATCTTTAGGAACCAAGTGAGTGATCCCAGTAGTGAAGAGGCTCGGGAGCGACTTCTGGTCGAGAGCCTCTTGACACTGTCGGGTGAGCACAGCGTGACACACCACGAATCCCTTCAGCCAGTAGTGATGCAGTCCGTCGAATCCCGGACATTTCCAGTTCGGGGCCCTACGGACCGCTTCAGCCATGTCTTCCGGCGTTATGGTGATGGGGTCCATAGGCGTAACACTCGCACCCTGGCTCGCCACAACTTCCATCCAAGGGCCCTCGCTGTGGTTTACGAGCTCTGACCACAGGCCACGCCAGAATCCGATAATGTCAGCCTGATCCGGTCTTTGGCCCGCTCCACATACCTTTGTTCGCTCCAATGATTTATATAGAGCCTCTTCTGATCACTCTGGAAGAGACGATTGTGGTTGAACCGCCTTGACCTCTCGGTAAATCGTTGAATCCGCTTCCCCCAAGCAGCGATCTTTTGCTCAGGTCGTCTATGCGCTCCGATAGTTTCTGCGTGATATCCGGCTGGGACAAACTGATATTTGTCCCAGCAAACGCCATACTAACGGTGCGCACAATCCTCGGTCTATTATTACCCGACCTGAAGCTTGTCAGTCTGCCGATAAGGGCCCTTGCCTTTACGATACGGTCCTCGATTCTTTTTCTCCAGGCTGGGATGGCGCTACTTTGTGTAGTAGCGCGTCAAGCCATGGGAAGTTTGGCGCCAATAATACGGCAAACTGCCACTGCGGCGCCAAAGCGAATTGAGTCCGTCTCGCAAAGGTCCCGGCTGGCTTCCAAATAGATCACCAGCATTGGGTTAAGAGCCCTCACGACAGCCCGATTTCGTTTGCTTAGGAGTATGCGGGGGAAGTCGCGGTCGATTTTCGAGAGGGGTGCTGCGCGTTTCCAAAATCGCCTCTTCCAATATACTCCTCATTTGCTCTAGTTCGTGGGAGACTATTTCATCGTCGTTCGAATCAACCACAACTGGAAGATCCATGGCGGCTTCCACATGTGGATGCTGGTCTGTCGAATGTGGAGCTGCATCTCCAGCCATAGCCGATTCATTCGACGATGGAATAGCCTCACGTCGTAGTCGTTCGAGTTCGGCATCATCAAATATTTTTGAGCGCATTATGTACCGAACTCGGTCTGCCAGGTTTTGTTCCGTGACGGGAATAGAAGGCTCCAGCTCAGCAAAAAAGCAATGCATCCGAGCCCTATACGCTATTCCCACAGTTTCTTCCCCCTTTCGCTCTATAGTACGCCCGCAATGCGTTTTCGTTCATAGATTTTGTCCGACGCATGCGACGTGCTCCACCAACGGCGGGTGTCGCTTGCTGAGTCCGAGAAGACCCAGCCGACACCAAACCTTCTGGTGGGGATGATGGATGCGAGGGGCTGCTAGGTGATCGTGCAGCTCCTCGCGCTCGGCTGGCGACCCGCATGCTGCCGCGTCCAGCGTCAGCTCCAGACACGCCCCGGCGACCCCCAGGCAGCGTCCCTATGCGCGTTCCTTTCTGTGCCATCATCCATTTTAGGGGCGCCAAATAACGGGAGACGCCCAAGCCCGGCACCGTTTCGTGGTTGGGTCATATGCACAAACGAACCTTTGCACCCACAATTTTGCCTAGGCACGGCGCTCACAACTCTTGGCAGGATGCTGACTGACTGCGCCGACGTAGCAGTTTTGTCATATAACTGTTACGTCAGCGGGCGATGGGGTCGTCACTTCCCTACGCCATATTATTATTATTGTTTGGGGTATCTATATAATTTTCTCATCTGGTTGGATTATATAAATATATAATTATAAATTAAAATGAAACTATAAAAATACATAAATATCAATAAAATAAAATAAATACAAAAATACATAAATAAATAAAAGCCCAACCAGATGGAAGCCCTCGGCAGGGGAGACCAAACGGCCGAGGGTTAGGAGGAAAGGGAAAGAAACCGGCGGACGATGCGGGCGGTATCGAGGAGCACCGCCTTTTGCATTTGAGCCTGAAGCGGTCCGTCACGGAGTCCCAGTCGCCTCAGATGACCCGAGAGGCTGACTGGGATTAGCCCATTCGCAGAGACGACTACAGGAATAATTTCGGCCGGCAGACCACCCCACATATCGGTCACCTCGTGAGCCAGGTCCAGATATTTTGTTCGTTTATCTGTTTTTAGAATTCTGGCTACTAGGTTGTGCCTGTGAAAGTACTCAGAATTAGAAAGCTCCGAACAACCGGAGATGACATGCCTGAGTGACTCCCCGGGATGGCGACAAGCTCGACAGACGTCGACATTGTCATCCTTTAGGATGTATTTCCAAAGTTGTTGGTCTTAATAACCTGATCCTGTATTGCACAGACAAAACCATTAGTTTCCCCGAAGAGGTCACCGAAACGTAGCCAGTTGAGGGAGGCGGCTGTATCTACGTGAGGCTAATGTAGAGCCCTGTAGTACCTCCCGTGGAGCTCCTTCTCCTTCCATACGGTCTCCCGGTCGGAAATGCTCTGTACTGCCGGGTCTTGCCATTGCTCGTTGGCTAAGAATAGAGGGGTAAGCCCTTTATCACTAGAAAATCGCCCTTTCTCATTCGAGGCCACGCTTCTCATTAGTCTATAGGTTTCTCTGTCTACGTGTTTTATATACATCTATGGGTTACCACAGACAGACTGACTTGACAAGTGACAATTTGACATTGACATTTGGGAGAAAATTCTGTCAAGATCAAGAAAAATATAACCACATAACCTCTTATTTAACCTATAATTCGAAGTATTAAATATTTATATTAGAGTTTAGTTTGTATAATTTAATAAGAATGAGGTTATACACTCCCTTATTCTCGGCTCCATTTAATAAATCTGCGAGAAGGCCTCAAAGAGAACCAGTTCCTTTTCAAATGTTATTACCATTGCAGCTCAAGAAAACTGTATCAGGAAAAGGAGACAAACTTAGAGAAGCTGCTTGTATGCAAGAAATGGCTGTAATGTTTGCTTGTTTCAAAAAAAACGACTTCGATCAACAAGAATGCTTAAAGGAAGTAACCGCTTTTCAAGGTTGTTATCGGGAATATAGTGAAAAACTTACTACACAAAGAGAACAAGGAAAGAAAGGTATCTTAGTGCCTGGAGAGAAGAAGTTGACTCATAGACAGTTAAATCAATTGCTAAAAGCATTTCCACCAAAATAATAATTACCTAAAAACATATAATTAGATGTAATATAATTAGATAGTTTAGTATTAATAAAGTAATTCTCAATAATTATGTGGAGGTTTTATGTTGTATTTGGTTGTTATTTTATATCCTCTTAAAGCCATTAATTATTACAACTCATGATTTTTCTACTGTTTGCTGCAAGATGTCTATCTACCCAACTAACTTTTAAAGGTAGTAATGCATATCAGTTTTTATTTGGTAGAGCCACACTGCAGGTATGTTATGGTTACGGGCCACACTTACTTGGAAAACCAATGCAAAATAGCAGCTAAAATGCTGCTGTATTTTATATTTATTTATTTAATTCCAAAACTCTTGTGGCTTACAGAAAATCCAACACGCAGAAGGTTTAATTTTACATGCAAAAAATATTTTAAAAAAATCATCCAATTATAACAAACGAATTAATAGGTATCACTTATGAATTAATAATTAAAAATAATAATCATAAATTAAACAATTATGCAATATCAGTGTTATAAAATCTCTAAACCTTTAGCGTGCTGAGAAATTAAAATATGAAAATAAAATATTAAAATATGAATATTAAAAAAAGGTCGCAATCGTACAATGTCAGGCTATGAAATATTTTGTCATATTAATTTATAATGCAGTGTCAATAAAAGCTAGTTACAATATATGTCCATAATTAAAATTACATCTTAAATACAAAGTAATAAATAGTACATAGTCAAGCAAATTAAATTGTTGAATTATTAATTGTCTTATTATCGATAATTTTACTAAAAAGATTCAGCAGACGTGTCATACTGTCTGCAAATATGTCAATTTCATCGTGTTGAGTATGTCCATTAGTATCAATGCTCGATTTGTTGGTGCATAGGCAGCACGTTTGGTACATGTAACTGGTCTGTCTAGGACAGCGGTCCGCAACCTTTTTGATATTGCGACCCCAAAATTCGAAAAAGAGTTATGAGTGACCCCAGAAAAAAAATCACTAAGTTAACAAGTGCAAAGGTTGGTTCAGGTAACGAAGTTAGCTGTTTTTATTTCGTAAATTATTTATATTGAAGAGTTTATTTATTTTGGAAAGTAATATTAGAGCAAACTAGAAAATATGCATTTAACATACGAGTAATATTTATGATGGCATTAAATGAGACAAGCAATTATTTTAATATTTTATTTAAAAAAAGAAGATACATATACGTAACCTTACAATCTAATGTGAACCTTGTGCTTGCACACTTGCAGTCAGTATATTAATTCTTGGTGATATATTATCAGAAAGGAGGACACACGGGCAGAGGAAGGCCGAATAAAAGATGGATCGATTGTGTGAAGAGTGATATGAGAATGAAAGGAGTAAGTATGGAAATGACGGCTGATAGAGAGGAATGGAACAAGAAGATTTACTGCGCCAACCCCAGATAATGGGAAATGGTCTAGAGAATGATGATGATATTATCAGAAACAGACACCCTCAAATCAGGTTCAACGTTAAGTCTGGAGCAATATTTTGTTTTTATAGCAGTTAATGTGGAGAAAGCTGTCTCGCAAAGGTATGTAGATGCGAATGGCAGCAATTTCAGCAGAGATGTTTTGAATAACAGTGGATATTCCTTTTCCGTCATTATCCAGAACTTGGATAGATCCGTGGTTTTGAAAATAGATCGAAGGCTTTCATCGGACATTAAATCGATCAGCTGCTCCTTTTCTTTTAAGTTCATCTTCACAGTGTTAAGATCACAAGGGAATGGATTAATTATCCATTGGTCGCCGTGTGACGTATCTGGGAATCTTATTTCCAAGTCTTGCTTAAGGTTTGTAAGATGCATTATGATTTTGGTTTTAATTTCTTCTTCGAGCTTTATATTGTTTTCTTCAGAAAATTTTTCCAAACATGCAAACATCTCGTAGTTTTCAGCACTGATTCTGTCATCAACAAACTTATTTTCCTACAAAAAGCTTTTATTTTGTTAGCTAAAATCAATACATTTGTACTCTTCCCTTGCAACGATTGATTTAAATCGTTAAGTTTTTCAAAAATATCCGAAAGATAGCCAACTGTTGCCAACCAATTTTCATTCAAAAAATATTCCGCTAGCTTTGGTTCCCGTTCAAGTAGAAATATTCTGATTTCATCTTTGAGATCAAATACACGTCGGAGTGTTTTTCCTCTCGATAACCACCTGACCTCCGTATGTAACAGTAGATTTTCGTATTCTGATCCCATTTCACGACACATTACTTTGAAAAGGCGACTGTTTAATGCGCGAGCTTTAATAAAATTTATTATTGTTACGACTTGTTCCAACACTTTATTTACATCTGGTTGCAAATGTTTTGCTGCAAGGGCTTCACGGTGAATCATACAGTGAACAAAGCCTACGTGAGGTGCAATCTCAATTACTTTTGCTTTGAATCCTGTTTTGGAGCCGGTCAATACAGCTGCACCATCTGTACACTCAGATACACAATATTCCCACTTTATGTCATGGAGTTCAAAAAAGGTATTAACTGCATTAAAAATTTCTTCACCGGTTGTTCTTCCTTCTAATCCCTGACAAAATAACAAATCTTCGCATATGTCGTTTTCATATCGGTATCGGAAATATCAGAAGTTGAGCTACATTAGCTACATCAGTGCTTTCATCCAGCTGAATAGCATAATAGGGACTCCCTTTCACGCGATCTATAAGTTGTATTTTGATATCATCAGCAAGTAGATTGATACGACGATGAACAGTGTCACTTGATAGTGGAATTGTTTTCAGTAAATTGGCATACTTTTCTCCTTGCATGATCGAAACCATTTTCATTGCAGCTGGCAAAATGTGCGTCTCGCCAATGTTGTGAGGTTTTTTAGTTTTGGCAATCAAAAAGGAAACCTCGAAAGATGCTTGTAAGGCTTTTTGGTTAACTGCTGTGTATTTTTGGAAATCAACCTGCTGTGACTTTAGTTTGGTGGCAAGCCGTTTAAAATAAGATTCATCTTTATTTTTTAACTGTGGATGCTTAGTTTCTAGGTGCCTTTTCAGTTTGGCCGGCTTCATGCTCCCATTTGCCAAAACCTCCTAACAAACAACGCACTGTGGACGTTGTTCAAAATTCAACACTGTACATTTAAAACCAAACTGGATGTACGATCCTTTAAAGATGCGTTGACGCTTCCCAGTTGTCTCCGATTTAGCTGTTGCTTGAAGCGTAAAAAATATTTCGCGCTGGTTTTGTTATTGAACCCACGCGTCCAACATGGCCGCGCTGCGATTACGCCTCACTTTATTTTCTAAGTATGAGTGCACAGTTACTTACCGTGTGCGTTATCCACGACGGTTATCCACGAGAACACTAATCTTCTAAAAAAACGTTCTACAGAAGTAATCTTCCGTGTTTTGACATCAATTTAGTATGTATTTGCAATCGACAAAGCGGCGATGAGTACGCACATGCGGATAGAACTGACTGAACGAAGAAAGAGCGATCGGGGTGGGGGCGCGGGCGCGGGAGCGGTGAGGTTGTGACCGGCGGGACTGGACTGGTCGTACAGTCGTAATTATTTTCGATTCTCTCCGTTTTAAGGACATTGTGTTATTGTGTATGTAAAGAGAGGTTATATTTTATGCATAAACCTTAATAAAATTCGATAAATACAGGACCTTTTTGACTTTTTTTGGCGACCCCATAAATATCCACGGGGTCCCGTGTGGGGTCGCGAAAGATATTTATGGGGGGGTAAAAAAAACCCCGTTGCGGAAATGTATAGTTTATGAGTAATAATTTTTTTGCACTTTTTAACAATGGAAATACTTAACCCTCTTTTTTGATGTTCCGTAATCAGATAAAAAGTAGCCTATAAGTTACCCTGGCGTCCTAAACTATACGCAGACAGACAAAAATTCTAAAAACCACTAATTTGGCTTCAGTGCCTTTTATTTAGTCCCCTGGACTTGTTTTCCCAGAAAAGAAAATTAATTACACTTTTCTACAGATTTATTATATGATTTTCTATCTCATACCAACGTAAAATAGTAGCTTAATGCTGCTGTGTCTCGTATGGGGAGTGTAGAGAACAGGAGACCCTTTGATCTGAAACGCATCCGCATTTTGATTCGTAATAGAAGATAGATGTAAATTGTAGATGTTTATAGGCCACAGCAACCACTTACCATCAGGTGGATTGTGTGCGCGTTTGTCACCCTATCCAATAAAAAATGTATATATTATATATAAAATATTAAATTGTAAAAAAAAAAAACAAATCATTTTATTCATAATATATTTAAAATAGCAATTTGTCAATTCTTAACAAACAAGTAAAAAATATAAAATAGCACATGATCATCACTTTGGGGCAGTGTGAATCCATTGCGGCGAGGACACTTGAAGCTCGATGCGTCGAACTGTTATTAATTCATCATCAACTTCATGCACATTGTAAAATCTTTCCAATTCCTCTATAGCTTTATCTTCAAGCTAAAAGCATAAAAAGTAGTGTTGTAAGAAATTTGCATAATAAAAAATCACTCGGGGGGGGGGGGGGGGGGGGCTATGTTTGGGAATAATGTTGGAGTTCATGGTAATCCTTTGATTTAAGACATAATACTTATTAAATATTATTTAGAATACATATCAGTGGTCCTAGCAATCGGCACCGTAAATACTGGACTCCTTGTATAGTAATTAAAGCTTATATTAATGGGTGCGTTTGGCAGAAAAAAGCGCTAGTAAGCGCTTATAAGCGCTGAAATAGTTTTCGGCCAGGACACGATTGCTACTTCAGTAGCGCTGACACAATCCGCCATTTTGCTTATTTAATTTGTTTGTTTTGAAGTAGAGTTTATAAGTTGTTTTGTCAAATATTAGTATTAAGTAATATAATGACATGAATAAACATATACATTTTATTAAAAATTCATGATTGGTAAGTTTTTAATATGAATACTTTACAAATATATATTTAAATTAGGTTAGGTTCCCCGGTTAAAACTAACATCGTGTCCTGAAGGAAAATAGCTACTTACGATTTGACAGCACTTACCGCTTACGATCGCCATTTTGCTTACAAGCGCTTGCTAGCGCTTTTTTCTGCCAAACGCACCCAATTTTTCTAGACAGTGCATGCAATAAGAACTTTTTCTTTTTTATTCAAGTTACAAGCCAGTGCTTGACTAGTACCTGATGGTAAGTGATGATGTAGCCAAAGATGGCATAGTGCACTGACTTACCTTAACAAGAGCCTATCCACTTTTGCTTTTTAGAACTTTTCTATTTACTACTAATATGCAAATAGGTTTGTGGTTAATAAATTATTTAAAAAAAGATTGCAAATATTTTTTTTTATTATCCTATTGAGTTTTCTGATCAAAGGGTATACATACTTTTTTTTAATTTTGTTTAATGCATTAATTGCAATTAATATTACTCAGTTGTATAGAGGCCTCATTTGCAACCCATTTTCTACAATTTAAACATATCCAAGAAATCTTTATCGTGATACCGTTTAAGAATACTATGGAATCACGAACTTATAAAGACCATAATTTTTAGCCCAAAAATCTTGTTAGTCTGAGACCAAAAATTAGATTACCAGACCAGAGTCGGGACGCCGATTCTGGTATTGCGATCGCCAACCATCTGCCATTTGTTGCGATTACAGCTCTTCTAACCTAGAGTCTAATTTTGTCCTGTGGGTGTCTTAAGAGGCTACGGGAACTGCCAGAAAAAATTAAATTGCTTCTAATAGATGGTAGTTTATCTTGTTTACGCTGGACGTAGAAAACCCAGACCAGCAACGAGCAACAGCGTCAATTTTGCTAGATCAAGGCTCGTACTGTGATTGCCTAGCTGCCTGCTAAGCGTGATGAGTAAGACAACTCCTCCCTACAGTGGAAAAGGCCTATTGTTTAGCAACTGACTTTTACAGGCTGATGAAGATAAAAAGTTTATGAAGATATCCGCATGGCCATGAGGAGTGACGGAGCCAATGTTACTAAGAACAAAAAAGGGTGCAGATACTATTCTGTCTGATTCTACTATCCATTTTCTATTTGTTGAGAAATTTTGCGAATTCAATTTTTTTTTTCATAAAAATAATATAATATCACTAACATACATATACACACATAATCAGATAACTTATTCATCATCATCATCATCATTGCAGCCCTTCACAAGTCCACTGCTGAACATAGGCCTCCCCCAAGTGACGCCACAAAGCACGGTCCTGAGCCACCTGCATCCATCGACTTCCTGCATATCTTACCAGGTCGTCACTCCATCTAGTGGCGGATCGCCCTACACTACGCCTATCGGTACGAGGCTGCCACTCGAGAACCTTTCTTCGGTTATCGGTTCTTCGAGCTATATGGCCGGCCCATTGCCACTTCAGCTTACTCATCCGTTGGGCTATGTCGGTCACTCTGGTTTTACTGCGGATATCCTCATTTCTGAGTCTATCACGCAGAGAAACTCCGAGCATAGCCCTCTCCATAGCTCACTGAGCGACCTTGAGCGTCCTCATACGGCCAGCAGCGAAGGACCACGTCTCAGATCCGTAAGTCATCACTGGTACTATACAGATATACTATGCACATCAACATATGGAGATGATATGTCGATTTTATGTCTTTGAAATAGCGGACTGACTTAGTCCCTTCTTAAGCTGCAGTGGCGTTTGAAAATGAGCCTTCTGATTGCAGTGGACCTGAGTAGTAATCAGGAGTCACTATTTCGAAGTGTCGTGTTGTGTTTGAGTAATTCATAGAATACTATAATACATACATAATAGAATGGAAGAGTAGGCGGAGCCCGTGTAGCCACTAAAATGTCACTAACACGTCAATTCACACGCATAAATGTCAACACGAGATGTGTTACGACGTTACAATCGTTTCCAAATTTCCCATGCAAATTATTTAGGAAATGCCAAATTGCACGCTATCTACAAATAAATATGTATTAAAGTCTATCTGTCAACATAGCGAATCTGGTTTGTAGTATGAATGAATGAATGAATATACTTTATTGTACACCACAAACAAATTTACAAAGAACATAACAGAGAGCAGATTACATGTACAATTTGGCGGCCTTATCGCTACATATTGTAGTAGTGATAATATGACGTTATTGCTTGTATTGTGCTCCCGGCAACGCCGAAACTCGTACAAATTAAGGTTGACAGCCATTCTATTGTGTATTATAGTATTCTATAGAGTAATTAGTAATTTAGAAACTTACCACAAAAATATGCTACATTTTATTACCTGTGTCAGTGCAAGGGGCTTTGTCATTATCCTAGAAAAGTCATCTTTCTGCTTCCTTTGATCGGCTAAAATTTGATTGAATTCAACAGCTTTAGCATTAGGACTACTATTAGCGACAGGAAGTTCACATATTTTCCAGGGATTCTTGGGCTTATCTGGTGGGCTGCCTACGTTCAATTTATTAGTTAAGTAAATGTCTAGATTTTGTGGTACAGACAAATCGTTGCCTTGCATGGCTAGCTTCTTGCGTTGCTTTTGGGAAAGCTTAGGCCCAATATGATTTACGACTACATTGCATTGTGGGCTCCACCTTGATTCAGCAAGCGTTGACTCTTTGGGGGACTCTGACATACGGGAATTACTAGGCGCATTATAGTCTCTTGTTGGTGGACTCATGGCACTGAACGAATTGCTTTTACTTAGTTTAACAAATGATTCCGTGGGGTTTTCGTTTAAAATGTCTTTAGCAGTTGTTATGGCTTTGAGCCTTGCTTGTATGATTTTTTGTTGCTTTTGTTGAGCAGATGGCACTTCTATCCATCTGTCTT